ATTTATTTGAATTGAATTGCACATAATGGTTAACCTGCAGGAACCTAGTTTATTGTAACGCCTTTAATGATGCTATCAATAGTAATGTAAAATATCTGTAGTAACCCAAATTGATTTCATTTATGGAATTTGAAAGAAACATTTTATGGCTGACTTTTGACAATGTCACGCTGAGAATGCATTGAGGTATTATGTTGAATTTAAAAGTTTTTAAATATAATTTCACTTGCTAGATGCTTAAAAATTGTATAGCTGTCTCATTATTATCTGTAATTTTACTTCTCCCTGTAATACTGTTCTGAAACATTATTAACTAAGACGTAGAGTGGGCTTAAAGGGATCCGCTAGAGGAAATGATTTTAAAGAAGGCTCCGGGAGTCAAAATTTTCGGAAAACACTGCCCTGAAAATTTTGATTTTAACGCTGAGTAATTTTTACATTTGAAAAGCTGTAGAAATTTTAAAAAATACGAAGCAGTTTCATTTCAAGATATCCTCAAAGTGCGTTATATCCGATTTTTTATATATTTGGGAATTCTTTATAGCCGTATAAAATAATAAAATTCTTTTTATAGAAAATACGGGACTAAAATGTTCGTTCATTATAAGCGGGTTCGCTACAACGGGGTTTGACTTAATCTATTGGCAATATAAGCCAAAAATATAATTTATTGTCCCACTACAGTTATAAAAAGAATAAGAATATATCATCAAAGTAATATTATATCTGCATTATTGCAACAGAATGAAGAATTAATGAAGAGCATCTGTACACATAATTTGAGATATTCTTTAAAAATCATTTCTAGATACTATGTAAGTTTTCTAAGAGTATAAGCTTTTTTTATACGGAATGAAATTTCCAGGCAATTAAGGAGCTCTGGTTCAAGCAAATATTTCATGTTTAATTACAGAAATTGGAATAAATTTCTTAGTGTTTTTAAACACTTTAGGAAGTTTCATTGTAGAGTTCCTCACTTTGCAATTCTAAGTTAATGTTGGAAGTGAATAATCTTAAGAACTGATAAGCGAATAATGGCTTAAGTTCAGGCGACAAGAAACAACAAGATAGAAGGGTAACTAACCCTTTATTATTCAATAAGATTTAACAAAACTCCGCCTGGGAGTGTACAAACGAAGCCGACCCTCGGGCTTCAACTTAAGAGACTAAGAATTAAACTAAAACTAAGATTAACTAAAGAAATATAGCAAAGCTATCAAGGTTCAAATCGAGTTGGCCCCTTAACTTATTTGATTGAAGCTTAGCAAGGGCCTGAGTACGGTCGAGCGTAATAACAGCTTTGAGAGAGAGAGTGGCCAAAAAGTCAGACTCGCGTAAAAGTAACTTTAACTTAAAATTTAACTGTTAATAAAATTAACATAATCCTTACACCATGAAATATTTTTTTAAAAGTAAATCATGAAAATTCCTGCTTTAAATTCGATTATATGTTTTTATTTTGTGAAAAATCGAAATCCGTTATCAGATTCTCCAAATATATTTTGAAGCGTTTAAAATAAAGTAGTTCAAAGATGCAATGAAGTGAAAATGATATTTGCTACTTTGTCTTCAAAATTTTCATTTCCTATGAGTGAAACAGCTACTTCCGAGTTACAGTCTCTCAGAAAAATTTCCACAGGTGAGCACTTTCTGATTACTATAACGGAGTTATCACATCTAACGACGCTTGAGACTAGGAGAAACTTTTCCGAGAAAAGTGCTTCTCCAAGCATTGGAGGGTTCCTAGCCGGAACTGATGTCCCGATAGCTACCCTAGATATTTTACAGTAGTGATGAAAGTGTTTCGCTTAAACATGTGTCCTTGTGTCACACGTAGCTTTTCCTCAAAGAACTGGCTTTCGCGTAAATCAACCAATCAGGAAACCCAAGAGCCAAAATTCCGAGAAGTGATTTTTCGATGCTCTGCTCAGGGTAGTTTATAGCTCAGGGTAGATATGATACTTGTTTAAGAGTATTCGTTTTCTTTATGTTGATTAGAAGTACAGATATGGCAATTTTTTCCGAGAGATATTCAGAAAAAAGGAAATAAAAAAGTAATTGTGATATTTAGTCGAAAACCGTCTTTTGGACGAGGTCAGTACTTTTAACCAGAATACAATATAAATAAAATTAATGTTTCTGGAGAAAAACTTATACATTTATCCTTAAAAATTTCGCTTTTTTAAGTTTGATATATGAAAATAAATGTAGAGGCGTTCAAAATGAAATTAATCTACTTATAAGGTAAAGCAAAAATAAAATAAAGATTAAACAATTAAAAAATACAAAGTTATCGTTAGTAAGGACAAAACGCAGACAAAATATTATTGTAGGTTATTCATAATTCAGGCTAATTATTATGTGAATTACTACTCGTTGACCGTGATTAGATTTATTATTATAAATTACAGAAAATTTTACTGATGTTTATAAATCACTTAAATCGGAGCTTAAATTGTGTCAAAGACCGCCGAAGCCTTCTTAATTTGGATAAATCATAATTTTTCATTGCAGTCCTAATTCAGGCGCGTATCCAACAATAGTGGTTTCCCATGGAAAAAAGCATCTGCAGATTTTTTAAAATGAGGTAGCCGTATAGGGGGGGGAATTGTCATTTGTACAGAACTTTACATTTGTTCTTAGTTTAGGTGTCAACTCTCTGATTCGAAGGAATTTTTCCTTGTCATATTTTGCTTGACAGCCAGAAATATATTGGCAGGGGATCGTGGTCAGAAAGTATTGGACTCTTCTCTCTTTGTTTTCATACCTACACACCCTTTATTAAAATTTTTCTCCATACTCTCACACCGTTTCTAGTATTTTTTTTATTCTCATTACTGACGATTAAATGGTTTTATTTTTTAAATTAGCGTGCTCGAAAAAGAATTATCTTTGTTTCTATCATCCCTTGAAATAGTATATTATGCTGTATAGTCAGGGCGCTTAAGTTTAGCCAGAGTCATGCTGATTTACTTGCATTTTTCAGTTTTGGGTGAACTTGTTAATTCCAACCAAAACCTCAAATAAGAGGAAGTCGGTATTTTACTTTATTAATTAACCATCTGTTACTAATTTAATAATGTACCTAACTTAATTTTAATTACTTTATTGCTTAAATTATTAACTATTTTACAATTTCATTGGTTATTTTATTTATTTATTTTTGTTCCTTTTTCCTGACGTTCTTCTATAAGGTTCCGACACTTCTTATTATTTAAAAATTAAGTCCTGACTGAAATTAAAAATTACTATAGCTAAATGCAAGTAATGAATAAAGACAGTTATTAAGGAAATGGCATTTGGCTACTAGTCTCAACCAAATGATAACTTTAATGAGTTGGCATTGTAAGAACCAATAGCTAGTAAGACCAAACCGAATTCGCAATAGCAAAATGCAGATGATTTATGGAATAATATATGGTGTAAATAGTGTTGCCTTTCGAATCATCAATATCAAAGTTTCGTCCAGACGCAGATGGACTTTAATATGACCCCAAAGCTAAAATTTATTGCAGCATTTGTGCCGTTAATACGGTACTTCAGATATGAGGCTTCCTATCCTAAATAAGAACAATTATGTCGAGACATACATGACATTACAAGCTCGAAATAGCAGAATTTCGACAACCGTTTGCAGTTTGTCAACTCCAAACTCCGCTTCTTTAAAAAAAAATTGTCGAAATATAAAGCAACTACAAAGTCTATCGATACGTTACTTTCCGTAATTAAAAGGACAGTTCTTGCCTGTCATAATGAATTTCAGCAACCGGTTAAAAGACTGCTCAAGATGCACATGATATCATTAACATGAAAATTCTCCTCATCGCTTTACAGAATGTTTCATAACTAATCCTCTTAAAATAATCCCCGAATTGCTCCACGATCAGTCCGTTTTTCCAAGAATGCGTTGACGAGTTATTCACAGCTGAAGATTTCAGATTTCGATAGGATCGCTATTCCTTTATAGGGATAGCAATCCATAGCGATGTTTTAGGCAGCATTCTTGAAATGATTATGTTCGGCAATTATAAGAACACTTCGCAAATTTCTGATATCTGCTGTATCGCCAGCAGCATTTTGAGAGGAATTGTCTTTAACAAACAAAGCAATCTTAGGCAGGGATAAAACCATTGAATTGGTTTAAACCAGTATCTCAGAACTGCATTATTTACTAGCTGCCATATAATGTTTCGTTATGAAGACCTACCATTTGAATCGCTTCACTGTGACAGCAAGGTTTGAAAATATCTTTTCCTCGTGATATGAACATTGAATTGGTTTAAACCAGTGTCTCAGAACATTAAATTGGTTTAAACCAGCGTCTCAGAACTGCATTATTTACTAGCTGCCATATAATATTTTCTTATGAAACCCTACCGTTTGAATCGCTTCACTATGAGGGCAAGGTTTGAAAACATTTTTCCTCGTGATATAAAAATCTATCTGCTGACTGAATTGATAGCTTTACTGAAGTTGACCATACTGAAATTTGCCAACTTAAGTAACCACTATACTTTCAGCATGGTAGTTGAAACTACCATACTGAAAGTAAACCTCAGCCTTTGAACCGAAACCTCAGCCTTCGAACCGAAACCTCAGCCTTCGAGCCTCAACCTTCAGCATTCGAGCCTTCGAACCTCAGCCGAAAATTCGAAGTATACCTCAGTATTCGATTGAAACTACCATACTGAAAGTTGTATGTTGTACTGTATTTTGCTAAAACTGCAGTAATAAAGCAGTTAAAAAATACTCAAATACATGTAACTTTAAGATAAAGTAAATAAGCTTTCAGTGATGAATAAAAGTTCAAGTTAAAAAAAAAGGATAGTGTATTTTAGGGAATATCCGTATTTCGAACCTATGCTTATGATGCTTATGATGATGTAAATTATTATATCAATTTTGTCACGATCAGTGCTTCTATTAATTAATGAAATTCAGAAAATATTAATATGAAATAACATTTTGCAAACTTTAGTAGCATAAATTAATTGTAATACCTTGAATAGTCGAAAGATGTTCGCTACAGACTCCGATACTGCGCTATTGGCAGCACCAACAACTCCGGTTACCCTTCTTTTGATGGAATCGCAAGATGACTGCAGGAATTGCAGGGATTGGTCAAGAGCATAGGAGTCAAAAGAACAGGTATCTAAGATTGTAGCTCCAAGAGTGAAATTCCAGTAGGTTTGATTGTTGTTGATTTGGTCTATGGCGTACAGCATTGCCTCCAGACGTTGGACGCCTTTACCTATAAGAATGTCCCCACAGGACATAGTTTCGTTGTACCCTCTGTTGTGGACAGGAAAGAGCCCACCTAACCTAAATTTATAATCAGTACCTATATCTATTCGCTTGAAAATTTTTGTATCAGCATTAATATAAATTGTTGCAAAGCAAAAAATGACAAGTCTAAAATGAATATAAATATGTATCTTCATTTTTTCATTTGAGAATGCTTTGTCAAGTATTTAGCACTTCATTGTGGAATAGTTTAAAAATCACGTTTTTCTTTTCAGGATTTGTGAAGTTTTGCAAACTTTGTCAATGTTTTGCATACTTTCGAGACCATGCATCATGATGAGTTTAAATTTCTGCTCAAATAACTAGGGAAGTAACTTCATTTATGTTGTTGGCAGAGTCTCCTGCAGGTTGATGGACTGAAATGCCTCGCATAATCTGAAATGACAACATAGATATATCAAGTAGTAAATAAAATAAAAAAATATTTTTTTAAGCATAGTTTACAAAAACATGGGTGTGGGAGGGGCATGATAATAATAAGCAATAGAATTCACTGATTAGTATCTTCATTAAAGAATTTCATGTTTGGTTTTAATTAGGACCTATATTAATAGCTTTTGCATTTTCGATTAACAGATATATCATAACAGAAATTCTAGGTATGAAAAATGATTTCCTGAAAGAGGCCAGACACATAAAGCAAAAAGCATTGAGTTCCTGAAAGCAAAAGGTCCTTCTTGTCATGGGACTTAAGTCTAATGGCTAAAGTGCATTCATTAAAAATATTAGATCATGATTATAGAGCGCTCTGGTGTATTCTGTTAAAAATTATTTTCACTAGTTTTTCTTCTGTTTTTGTTTTTTGTTTGTTGTTAACCTAGAACTATTTTATTTAAAATGGATTAGTAACTAGTTAGCAAAATTCTAGAAAGAAGGGGAAATTATATACATACACATGGATAAGTTGATTATTGTAGTATTCAATTTTGGTGCACCGTTTCTGAGTTTTGTTATGTATTTGACCTGTAATACACTTAAGTGTGTTGCAGATCAAATACCTGTAAACAGGTTTATTTCACACTTACGTGAGACATAATCAGTTAACTGACTGACAATTTCTGAAATTATGACTTATGAACGAATAGTTTTTTTATTTTCAGAAACTGACAATTCATTGACTGTGAAATTAGTTTTTTCCAAGCAGGGTATTGTTTTATGTTAAGCCATTTTTATGATTTGAAAGCCTACAACTTCTTTTCATTAACTCTCACCAGAATGCAAATAAGTTAAAACTATTTAAGCCGGAGGTTTTGAAAGTTTAGATAAACAGATTTTGACAGCGACGCTCGACGTAGCCCAGCTTTGCTACCAGCATTAGAAATTTTGAATAATAATGAACCAGCATTAGAAATTTTGTTAGTCGAAGTAAGTCGCACATTTAATAAATTGAGCCAACGTATAGCTAGGCTGTTTGCATTTGTATTTTTCAGTATAGATTTAGTTTAATTTTAAATTAACTTTTCTGTTACTGATACTCCGCATTAACATGTAAACACAAAACTGTCTATTCTAGTCTACAAAACTGTCTATTCAGTTTAAAGCTTTTAAAAAAAGGTATGCTTAAATCTTCTCAGAATTGTTATATTACAGAGAGTGGTAACACTCTTGACTGAGCGAAACGAAAAACAATTTAATTTATTTAAAAGTAATATTTTGGCTTCGGCATTCTCGTCAGCCGATGCTTTAAGCGCCGATAAAATAACTGAGCCACCTTGTTTTAATGAATGTGTAGTCTTAGACTACGCTATTGTCTATTATTTCTTAATTACAATAACTACGAGGGATAGTTTTGGTCTGTAGCACAAGTTGTGGCCTTCTGTTCAAATTAGATTAAAATAAAAGGTTATTAAAACCTTCTTCAGTACTTTGTGAATATCTGAGACGCAGCTATCGTCTGTAGTAGGATCTGCAACCGCACGACTTGAATTCCATTTCCAGATCAATAAGAAACCCTACAAGTGTATATATAATATCTCATATGTGTTTAATATTATTAAGTGCGAAGATATAAATGAAGCTGCGGGTAAGTATCGCTATGATTGAAGAGTTCTTTTTATCTACATTTCTGAGAATATCTCCATATACTGAGAAATTGCTATTTTGGGTTGGTGTTGGTGTTGGTTGGTGTATTTAATTATGGCAAAGCACACTAGGGCTATCTGCCTAAGGTGAGGGATGCCTTCGTGGAGGACTTTCTAAGGGAAACTGGCTCAATGCTATTTTGGGAGGCATATTTAAGAAGCATATTATTTTGTCTTCATTATTGCTGAAGGCTGTGAAATGAAAATAGTCATCCTGAAATGTATATGATTCATGCACAAATTACTCTTTTTCAGTTATAAGTAATAGATGCTAAAAATGGCTCTATATGCTTTTGCTATTTACAGCTTCCTCGCGGAAATAAAATTTATCTATCCTGATAGATGATTCTATATCCTATATCCCTAACAGAATGTTTGACATCTGGAATGATACCGATTTTGTTGTCTGAATTCGCGATCTTGAATTGTGAAAATATCTTAAATAATGAACATACGAATCTGTTATGTAAAATTTATTACATTTTGCCATTTGTTTTTGCCTTACTGTTTATTTTAAAATATATCAAATGCCTTTCATAGGTATCTTATAGGTTTTGAGGATATTTAAGACTGTAGTTTTCTAATAGTAACTTATTCTACGACCATGTTATTTTCAATTACTGTGTTGTTGGAAACTACGACCATATTCTAATACTGGAATAACCAATAACCAGGTTATTGAAAATTCCGTGCTATATCCACTAACCATGCCTCCAACAACCATTCTAACCGTATTATTTCCAATAATAGTCTATTCCATGAAAAGGCCATACCACTTCCGGATATTTGCCAAACTTTTAGGTAATGCAAGCATTTTCAATCAGAATCTCAAAGCATTTTCAAAGCTCTGTCTTTATATAGTGTTGTTGATTAATATGCATATTCTAGTTCTTTATGTATATAGTACTGATATTTTTAAAATTCGTTTTTATTGGTTAGTTTAGGCTATTCGAATATGACAAATTACGCAAAGGTTATCTGCCTAAGGACAGGGTTTGGTTTGGTTTATTTAATTACGGCAAAGCACTCGAGGGCTTTCTGCCTAAGGGAAGAGATGCATTTGTGGAAGACGTTTTAAGAGAAACTGGCTCGTACACATGTTCTACATGGAGAAACTACGGAAATCAACCATCCAATCAGTGCGTTCGCAGTACTCATACTCATACTTCTATCTATAGCTTAGGCTTCATGTGTATAAAGGACATTACAAAGTTCTTCTAGTTACAGTAAATTAGGAGCTGACTAGTTTAAAAATTACCCGGATTCATATTTCTTTTTTCCCAATATCTGGGTGAGTTTGTAGAGACATTGGGTTAATTGGAAAAGCTGGAGAAATGAAAAATTAGCAACCGCCTTCGCCGGGAATCGAACTACGGACCTCTGGAATACTGGCCCAGCGTGCAGAACCACCACACCACGAAGGCATGCTAGGAAAGTGGGAGAAATACCTTATATACTCCCCTTTTTAAAGGGCGACTGGGGTTTTTAGGGGACCCAATCGCCAAATCCTGGGAGTGGAGAATCCTCATCCCACACCCTTTTAGTTCGGCCGCCACTGTAGAGACATTAGGTATTTCTGCAAAAGCTGGAGAGATGAAAAATTAGCAACCGCCTTCGCAGGGAATCGAACCACGGACCTCTGGAATACTGGCCCAGCGTGCAGAACCACCACACCACGAAGGCACGTTAGGAAAGTGGGAGAAATACCTTATAAGTTCATAAAGCTAAAAATCTGCATTTCCTTAAACAGGAAATAATGTTAGTTTTAAATTATTCAAGCTTTTAAAATTAATTGTTGGTGTCATAATAGTTTTGACTTTGAATCTGAGTAATCTAATTCTTTTTATCATACATATAATTCCGAGAATAATGCTTTGTATAAAATCAAATTTATAGTCTAATGTAAATCTTTTCCCTTTCCTTACTAATATATATATTACTATAAAATTGTTTAAATAAAAACATTTACCCGATAATAATTTAAAAAATCGCTAACGACATGGAATTTTAATATTTGCTAACAACACGAAAAAAAATTATATTCACGATAATTATGAAATGTAATCTTTGGTAATGAACTGTATTTAGTCAGTTTTACTTAAATTACAGTTCCAAAATTTCTTCTTCGCAACATAACTTCAATTTAGCTGTTTATGAAAGCAGAAAATTTTCCTCATTTTTAAAGCCCATGCAAAAAATGAAAAGGTGCATAGAATATATTTCCCGTCTCTGATTTCTATATTACAAAATTCAGCTACATCGAAAATTATTACATAATTCGTTATTTTTGGTTACAGTAAGTGAAAAAAAAAACAAATTCCAGTTAAGTACTTGATTAATTTAGAATTAAAAAAGTGCTTTTAAAATAAAAGGACTGTGATATTCTAAACCACTTGCAATTTTGGCTTCCTTGAACTCTGATGTTTCTTAAGAAATCTCTAAGGAATCCTCGATAAAAAGCAATTAATAAGCAAATTGTATGTGTAACTTACGATTATGTAAGTAATTAATTTAATGTTATTCAAAGGAAAAACTGGAGTAGCAAGAGGTAAAAGTTGTTAGCCAAAAGGGCGTTAGCCCAGAAGGGCTATTAATTTCGTTTTGCAGTTTGCGTTGTTTCACTATAAATGCCGGTTCACTTTTCAAATTGTTGCCACCAAATATAAGAGCTCTGTGTAATATTTAAGGAAATTAAATAATGAAGAATCTGTATAAATGTACATATGTTTCTCTCATTGTGATAAAATAACGGTAACTAGAGCCATCAAATTTTGAATAACGTAATCTTCCCCTGAATATTGGCATCTGGAAGCCCGAATTTGAAATTTGTTTTATTATCGATTTCATATTTTATAATACTTTAACGAATTTTTGATTAACAAACTCACGATTTCAAAGCGAGTAGTGGCAATGCACGAAAAAGAGATTTTTATCTCCAGCGGGTGAGACTGTGTATCGGAAATTCTAAAGATATGCCCATTGTAAAATTGTTTTGAGATATTGCTGTTGAAATGAATTTTATGGTTTAAGTGCAAAGAACATGATATTTAATAAATAAAGGCAGCACACAAAACGTCAAAAAAAGCCGCTTTGGGCGTAATGTAAAATCTGAAAGCTCTCTGAGATCATTTTTATTCATTACATTCCATTACTACAGAATTTATCAATTTTATTGGTGCATTGCAATACTATAGAAATCTGTACAGGATGGTATAAAAAACTTCGTCGATATATGAAACCTTAGCAGTCTTACCCGCTCAAACCAACCAAAATGAAATTTCAGATATTGTTATT